ATTTATTGTTCATAGTTAAGTTTTCATTTTTTCAGTAGTATTGTTACAATATTCCAAATATAGAATGTTGGTTTTAAGAGGATTATTATAATATTTAGTGTTACATGATTAATAATTCTTTGAGAAGTACTTCTTCTAATTTATATTTTTTAAAAAGAACACTGTGTTATGGCTCATTTTGAAAATAAAATGAATAAAATGGAAATGGAAAAACACATTGTATATATGAGAGTGAAACTTTAATTTTCTTCTTGTGAACAACTTATTTATGTCATAACTTTTGTTCAGTTACTTTATTTGAGATACTTTATGTTTAATTGAAATATTTCATTCTTACATTAAAAATTAAGCGATATATAAAACTTATGCATGTTAATTCATTTCCCTGTTTTGTTTAAAGACATATATATTGTGTAATACTCAAATAATTCATATATTTTAGTTGTTAAAATATTTGTACTTTGTATATTCATTCATTACAGTGAAAATATTATGAAACATTTCTTTCAGCATTTAAAATATAGAATACATATCTTTATTTATAACAAAACTAATGTACAACAGCACAGTAAATTTCCAGTATCTGTTGCTAAGTTAGTACTCATTCATAAGGTTTACCCTGTTACTCTCTCCAACCTCTAGTAACAATCAGTTTCTTATCAATATTTGTGACCTCACCTTATTTAAAAAGAGAAAATGTATACCCACAGTTGTTAGGTATAGAGTATGGATTTCCCATAGTTCATGAAAAATGAAGGAGTGAAGATATACATAAAAGTAAAAGAGAGATTATTTGAATATTAGAGACTTGGAAAAATAAAATAAAGAGAAAATATTATAAGAAAGTTTAATAGTAAGATGGGGTGAATAACTGGGTAGGAGGGAGGGAGAATAATACAGAGAGAGAAGAAAGATGGTCCAGATTGTACAACAACTTTTTCATAACCAAAAGGCCAAAAATCAAGTTAATATTCAATTTATGAGGCTGAATGTCTCTGTAGTCCTAATTTGGCATTGAAATTCTACAGGATTCCTGGAGAGCTGTTGGTTTTCCATTTCAATCTACCTTGGATTCCAAAAAATATCTTAATGGGTGTAGTAACAGGATAGATAAACTTGACGGCCAGAGTTAGAGAGCAAACCGTCAAAAGACAAAATTTTATTCTACCCTATATGTAGATTACCAACAGATGATTTGGTCTGCATTTAGAGTGGGTGTTGTTCAATTAATTTTATTAAGAAAATTATTCAGAGGAGTGCCTAACAGCTGGAGTTTCAGCTGATTCTAAAAGGAATCAAATTGACAACTAAGACTACCCATGTTCACCTAAAAGTGTGTGTGCAAGCTTGTGTGTGTGTGTGTATCACAACACAGTTTCTGCCACATGAGATTCAAGGAATTCTGCAAAAGAGAGGTAGAATGATTGAAAGATTCAAATGATCCATAATGCTGCTAAATCTAAATCTTCTAGATGTCATGCAAACTACTTTATTCTCATACAATATTTCCTGATTATGGTTTTCCCTTCCTCTACTCCTCCCAGGTCTTTCCCACCCACCTTCACTCCCATTTGGATTCCCTTCCATTTAAAATAAAATAAAGGTAAGATAAAAACCACCACTTCAGAGTTGGGCAAGGCAACACAGTAGAAGGAAATGAACCCCAAAACAAGGCACAAGTATCAGAGATCCACTGACTCACATACTCAGGAATCTCATAAAAGATATAATATATACACAGAGGGTCTGGTGTAAACCTGTTTCATCACTACGTTTGCTTCTTCAGTTTTTGTGAATTCGTGAGTCTTGTCTCTGAATATCTGTTCTCCTGGTGGCTTCCATCCCCTTTGATTTCTGCTTCTTCTTTTCATGGTGTTTCCTGAGCTCTGAATAGGAGTGAATGGATGGAGACAGTCCATTCAAATCTGTGTGTTCCAAGGACTCTCTCTCTCTCTCTCTCTCTCTCTCTCTCTCTCTCTCTCTTTCTCTCATTATCTGTTCTATGCCATTGAGGTAGGATTATTTTCTCTCATCCATGTCTATAATTTGAAGAGTTTTGTTTTTGTTGTTATTTTGTGATGTTCCCCTATTTCCTGAGTGTTCCTTTTCTGTGTTATTTTTCATTTTTCATGTTCTTTGTTAATTTGTATAAAACCTCTATTTTATCTTTGAGGCTTGATTTTCTTTCTTCTGCTTAATTCATTCTACTCTAAAGCTTTCCAGATGACCTATTCTGTTTTTCATTTTCATCTTCAGTTCAGTGCAAGTCCTCTTCAATATTTCTATCTCCTTATTGAATTACTCTTTCAATCATGGATTGTCTTTGCCATTTCTATCAGTCTTATTTTTTTGTTTACTTGGTTATTACTCAGGTATTTGTTGCACTGAAGTTTTTTCTCCTTGATTTTATTAAGGTGTTTCTTTTTTCTTTTTTATTAAAATTTTTTAATACAATCTTTTCTCATTTTACATAGCTATCCCCCTTTCCTGCTCCTTCCCTACCTCCTGCTCCATGCTCCCTCAACACCATCCCTTGAACTACTCCTCAAAAAGAGTAAAGCTTTGCATGGGGAGTCACCGAAGTCTGACACTTCACTTGGAGGCAAGACCAAGCCCTCCCCCCTATATCTAGAAGGAGCAAGATATCCCTCCAACAAGAATGTGCTCCTACATGCCAGTTCAAGCACTAGGAATAAATCCTGATCCCATTGCCAGTGGCCCCACAAACAGCCAAAACCTCACAACTGCCCCCTATATTCAGTGGGCCTAATTCGATCCTGTGTAGGTTCCTCTACTATCAGTCCAGAGTCAGTGAGCTCTCCCTAGCTCAGGTTATCTGTTTTTGTGGGTATCACTATTATGGTCTTGACTGCTTTGCTCATATTATCACTCCTCCCTCTCTTTGGCTGGTCTCTGGAAGCTAAGCCCAGTGCTTCACTGTATATCTCTGAATCTGCTTCCAACAATTGCTGGTTGAAGGTTCTATGATGACAATTAAGGTAGTCAATCTGATTATAGAGCAAGGCTGGTTTAGAGTTCTTTCTCCTTGATTTCATTGAGGTGTTGGGTGTGTGTGTTTGTCTTCTTTAACTCCTTGAATTTTTTTGAGAAGGTTTATGACTATTCTTTTAATTTTTGTGTTCTGGAGTTCATCTAAGTAATTCTCATTGACATTACAGAACTAATAGATTTTAGAGAGAAAATACTGATTAAATTTTATATTGGTTTGCTGTGATGAGATAAGGACATATGGACTTTCTTTTTCAGTTTTAAATTTGTTATGAATGGAACAGTTTGGGGAGGAAGAGAAGTGTTGCGGACAGGTTGGATCTAGAATTTAGAAATGGCTAAGGTGTAATTGTATCATGTGAGCTGAGGAGACTGGCCTGGTATGCATAATGTGCTTCCTGTTTCAAAGAATGAGTGAAGGAGTAAATAAGCCCAGTGTTAAGGTTAGTGTGAAGAGAAAGACTCCTGTGACATGGCAGATAGATAGGGAGAATACAGCAAAAGCAGAGAAGTATAGATTAGTCATGGTTTATGGAACCTAGTTTAAATTTGGTAGATTATGGGAAACATATGGATGAATTGGCTAGGAGTACTCACCAGACTAGAACCTGGAAGAGCATTTGGTACTCTGGGTCTGAATTGAGACAGTAGAGCCAATTGTCCTGTGGGTATATGCATGGAAAGTAGGTCATGGTGAAAGACTAGCTGTTGCCTATAGTGCAAGAGGAAGTGGTGGTACTAAGTTGGGGGATGGAGTTTGGGACACTAGGAAAGCCTAGAATTCAGTTACTACAAATCATGGTTGCCAGACTAGTGTGGGACATTGGTTGTGGGATCTAGACTCTGTCTGGAAGGATGTGGAGACACAAACATCAGATAATAGGTGATACTCACCAGGCCAGACTCTGGAGAAGGACATACTGTGAAGTCTGGTTATGAAGTATGATGGTGGAGGCACCACAAAGAGTCCTATGGGTAGATACAGTTGAAATAATTTTTTAAACATTAATATATTTTAAAGGTTAATGGATGTGAATATTATTTACCTTCTAGGCATTCAGGAAAATATAATGAAATAATTTACATTATTCAGTTACCATGAAATTAATAGCAAGAATTGTTTGGATCCAATAAATTACTGTAGAAAATATATAATTTTAAACTCTTTGAGCGCAAAGAACAAAATTATAAAGTGACATAAGTATGTGTCTCCAGTGTTAGGTGTCTCAAGCTTAAAGAGACAGAAAATTTGCCTTCTCTGGTTGTAACTAAAGTCTACAAACTATGTTGCCATTTAAATAAAAGTGGCCCTCAATAGGCTTGTATATTTGAGTACATTGACCCTAGTTTGTAGAACTGTTTGGGAAGAATTAGGAAGCATGGAAAAAGTATGTCACTGGGTACATGCTTTGAATTTTTAAAAGACATCATTCCCATAGCTTTCTCTCTCTGTCTCATGATTATATCTCAGTTATGCTACATGATTATATCTCAGTTACAGCTAAGGTTTTATGCCTACTGCCTGCTTTCATACTTGCCACCATGATAATCATAGACTCTAACCCTCTGAAACTATAAGCCCCTCAAAAACTCCTTCTAAGTCCACCTGCATAAGGCAGGCCAGCAGGCTTCCCCGGCTCAGGGTCTGGGGCTCTTCCTCTCCAGCGAAGGGATCAAAGGCAGCTAAGGAGGCGGCTCTGAGCCTATGAGGAAGAGGCGGCTATGGCGGCGGCGGCTGTGGCATCCTCCCATAAAGGGGCCGCCGACAGCTGAGCAACAGTAGCTCGTTGGATTCGCGCTTCGGAGCTCTAGGTCTTCTCAGGCCAGGCCGACTCGAGACTGCTCGCGCGGTCTCAGGCCCCCCTTCCCCCTTCCCCGTCCTTCTCCCGTCCCCGTCCCAGGGCCATCGCCACCGTTTCCCACCAAGGCTCTGAAGAGAATCCACAAGGATTTAAGTGACCTGGCCCCAGATCTTCTAGCAGTGTTCAGCAGGACCTGTTGGAGATATGTTTCACTGGCTGGCTACAATAATGGGGCCACATGAGAGCCCCTATCAGGGTGGAGTGTTTTTCTTGACAATTCATTTCCCAACAGATTACTCCTTCAAACCACCTAAGGTTGCATTTACAACAAGAATTTATCATCCAATTATCAACAGTAATGACAGCATTTGTCTTGATATTCTACAATCACAGTGGTCTCCAGCATTAACTATTTCAAAAGTACTTTTGTCCAACTGTTCTCTGTTATGTGATCCCAATCCAAATGATCCTTTAGTGCCTGTGATTGCTCGGATCTACAAAACAGATAGAGAAAAGTACAACAGAATAGCTCGGGAATGGACTCTGAAGTATGAGATATAATTAAAGAAATTATCAGATAACCTCTACAAATAAAGCTAGGGGAACTCTAAAAAAGAAAGTCATTTTGATTTCCATTTCACTGCTTTCTATGAGCCTCCATCTCTTCTTCCCCTGTGCACATGTTTACCTGACACAGCAGTGCTGCGTGTTGTACATACTTGGAACAACAAACTAGAAATACTGTACTTCTGTACCAACACTGCCTCCTAGCAGAGAAATGTGTGTGTGAGAAGCCAGTTCTCCGGGCATGACCTGGGAGTGAGACTAAAAGCTTTCCTTATTGACCTAAATTTGGATAATGGCAAGATGTGAGGGTAGTGGATACACAGTGTTTGCTTGATGGGAGGAAACAAGCTCCAGTGACCCGTTCGAGATTGTTTTTAAGTGGAACCCATCTAATCTCAGTCATAAAAAGCATGGTGAAGAACATGAAGCTGTTTCTGTATTCATTTCACCCTGAAGGACCTACAACATAGGTGAATGTTATGACCAAATAGATTAGACTCTGCCTACATGCTGTATTTAAGGTCTGAGTTTGACTGATCAACATTTAAATGGACTGGAGTTGTTAGTACATAAAGTGTGTTGGACTTTGTTCCCAAAATTTTCCCATCTCCCAGCCCTTTCAGGCTTCTTCTTTTTAGCCCCTTTCCATAATCTTTGGTTTGTATGTGGTTTCTCAGTTAATACATAGCTAATAGCTCTTATTTTTCTTATGTTTTTCACTCCTTTAGGCCTATTTCGATGTAAGAGTGAAAATTCATTTGATGGAAATACTTGTGTATATTTAAAGACCCAGTTGCTCCTCTGGAGCTTGTACATTCAAGAATGATCAATCTGTGTAATAAACTGATTACTACAGTCATTACTTTAAAAACTCCTATAAATTGCATTGATCGTGGTATATTTTCACAGCAATAGAAAAGTAACTAATATAAACTGCAGATGTATAAATCATTTTACAGATACTGGCTGTGAATTATAATTGGAATGGCATAATAAAGCCAATGTGACAGCTAGACAATTCACTAATTGCAAAGTAAAACAGATCCCAGCTGAATATTTTAATCAAAAATACAAAGAAAGAGGTAAATTCTATGGAAAATAGAAAAGAATTTATGGTTAGGCATGACAATTTCCAAAAATACTTTTAATAAATAAAAGCCATATACTTTTATATATGTCATTTGTTGCTTTGAACTTCTGTCACCTAATCTTGATAAAATCAAGCTTTTTTCCACAGATTGTATAAATTGAGATTATTTAAGAAAATAATAATCTGTTTATAATAATCAATATGTAACATGCAATATAATAATAAATTATCATTGTATTTATATTTCAGATAGATTTCCAATTGTAAGCATACATGTTGCCTTGTTTAAAATGTGCAATGATTAAACATTATAAAAAAATTAAGCACATTACACTTTGTTCATTAGTATCCATCTCTTTCTCTTAGCATAAAGTTGCTACAAGCCTACTCTGTTGACCTCAGGAATTGTCAGATAAGTTGTTGCAGCCAACGTCATACAAGCAGTCCAACACTTCAATAAAGATTTAACTTTTTAGTAACCTTACTATAATATAAGAAATTTAATATTTCCTTCCATCCATTGGACTAGTAATGATGAAAGCTATGATTGTGTCATTAGCTGGTCTTTGAGTGAAAATTGCATTTTCCTGTGTGAAAATCATATTAATGTGACATAGAGGACCAGAATGATTTATTAAACTCATTGTATAGACACAGTCTATGAGTACAAAATCAACTTTTGTTGCTGTAAGCTGAAGCTGCAGGGCGACTGGTAAAGAAAAGTCCCCAGACTATCTTGATACAAAATATACAGCTTTAATAAACAGAAGTAAGACTTACAACAGCTTACACCAGAATCCAACCGATCCGTCCAGACGCAGGAGCCAGGCGAAAAGAGAGCTAGCGGAGCGCGTTTGTTAGGTTTATAGGCAGGCTTTTGCCTGAGGGCGGCACGCCCCGAAAACAGAATATGATTGGCTGAACTCCCCTATCAGTAAGCTATGCTGCATTTGATGAGGATTTTTATTATTGTAATATATCTGGTGTATGTGTGCTATGCCAAAGACATAGATGTGTTTATGTCTTTTCACTATTTCAGATTTATTGAATAACAGTAAGTTGTTTCAAAATCAGCAATTTTCTGAATATGCTTATCTGGCTGAGATAAATGCAGGTTAATTTATTTCTATCTTAATTACTAACATTAGCTGGTCACACAGCAAACAGTAGATGTATTTGTATATGTATTCATATGTAATTTACAGGGTGAATATGTTAGCCTACAAAAGAGTTCAAGAGGTATTCAGATACAAGCTTTTTTAAAACATGAAAATAATTCTTAAAAGGTATTTTCAGAGTGGACTGGGAAAAATAATGTCTGTATTCATAAGGTACCCAGACTAGTCTACCTCAAGGAAGCAACTACTCTAAGCATGAAACCCTAGGAAGGTGAAATTTGAGTGCATTGATGTAGTCTACTGAAGAGTAAATAGGACAGATCTGACCCTGAATAGGACATAGTGGGTTTAGATGTAGAAGAGCTTGAGTAGTCTGAACTAACAGAACCAACCAAGATTACACAGACAGTAGGGTATGTGCTCTATGTCCCTAATATATGCACCAAGTTTCATTTGGTAGGCAGGTATGAGGCCGTTGGGATAACAGTTCTAGGTCTTCACCATTTTATAATGTCTAGGAGAAAGAATCATATCTTTACCCTGTCTAACATGTCCAATATGTTCTTTATAACAGTTTCCCTGACATGATTTTGAAATATCCATTTGGACCTGTGTTCTCAACTCACTTTGATAAGTTACTATGTTGCAAACATACTCTACTATCAGTAATGAGTCATTAATCAGACTTGCTGCAGATGACCTTGTCTTTCTAAATCAGGAACCTGACCATCTTTTGCCCACAAAATAGAATCAAAAACTGCTTCTAAAATGGAATTTCACAGGACTAGACATGACATGAAATATCACTGTTTTGCATACTATATAAGAATGTAGAATAAAATGCAACCTGGTCCCAGGACTAAAGTAGTCATAATTTTTATATTTAGTCAGAAAAAAAGTAGAAAGAAAATGAGATGAAGTGTCACAAATGATGTACAAACAAAATCCTAGAGTTAAGATTTTTGTGAAGATGTCATGTTAATATTTTCATGTTAATATTTTCACTTATTCTAATATTCCCAATTTTGTGAAGGGAGGAAGACATGAAAATTAAATCATGTGAAAGGGAAAAAGAGAAGGAGGTTGCAATAGGGCAGTAGGAATGAATATTATCAAAGTGCATTCGTTATACGTGCATGATATAAAAATGTCATCAAGCAGTTGAATACTCAGATAAAGAGTCTATGCTTGCTCCTCAGGATAAGGGATATTAATATGGGCAAAACAAACTTTTTCTTTCTCTTTATTGATTTTTGACAGTGTCATTTGATAACTATACGTGTGAGAGCATTATGCTAGTATGAAAAATAAACTTAAGAAAACAAGTACAAAAATAAAAGTAAATAAATAATAAACTCTATAACCTTTCAAAACTGTCTTCTGCTTATAAGTGCTATAACAGGTATCCTGAATTTTCATGGTGTGATAGTCACCCTAAAAATTCTGTGCCTAATATTGTTCTAAATGTTGTTCTCTACTCACTGCATGGTAGCTGCAGCTGTGATTACCCATAACAGATTGGTCAACTTATTATGATGGAGGAAGATAGGGATTTTTAGGTTCACCTCTCCGTAAGGATACACAGCAGTTGATAGTTGTTAGGGAAAGGGGATCCTGAGTTCCTGCCCATCATTGATGATTTATAGGCAATTACCAGTTGCTATGTGTTATGGCCTCACTAGACCCACACCCATCTCTGAGGACTTAGATGCTATGAATCGTTGATAAAGAAAGGAAAGTAGTTTTTTCTTTGGAGTAGTTCTTGGTAAGTTTTTCATGAGCCCGTAAATAACTCCTCATCAATACTCTCATAAGAAATTCTAATTAAGCTCATTGGTTCACAAAGCTAGATTTGGTGGAATCATTTTCTTGGGCTTTGGTTGGTGCACTGTCAGATTCATCTCCCCAATGGAAATTTACACAGTAAGTTAAGGTAGGGCTATACTTGCAGTTAGTTGATATGTAAACAATAAAAGTTTGGTGACATCTGATTCTTAATCATAGCATTTCTTAAATTGTTGAAGGCCTAAGATTTTTACAAGTTCAAATGACAGTTTTAGGCCAGCTGTTATGACTACTAACTATGAATTTAATTAAAACTTGACAAGGTTATGGACTTCTTGAGGTCAAAGGTTTATCACATATATTTTGGAATTCTAAAGCTAGTGTGCCTTCAAAAAATGTAATAGTTGAAGTGCGATAGCTTTAAAGAGCCTTAAAATTTTTCAGCTTTAAGACTCCCTTCCAGCTTTCAGTTACAGACTCCACAAATAGCTAAAAGTGGGGCTAAAGATTTGAGGGTAAAGAAGTTTTCTTACAACAGTAATTGTCTGTTCATGTGTCTTTCTTCTTCTTCAATCCATAGTTTTCGCATAGTTCCACCCATTACTTTTTCTCCTTGTTTTTCATTGTTCTTAGTTCTACGTTGTTTTTCTTGTCCTCCTCATTACAAATGCTACCAGTCATATACACCCTTAAAACCAAAAATTCCCCTGCTCTACCAAGTACCAGGACCAGAGTTCTTTTGCTCCACAAAAAATCTGATAATAGCTTTCACACACGCGCACACACACAGGAGTTACGAGTACATATCCAGTGTACTCCTTGATGAAGAAAAGTTGTTAAAAAAATAAATTAAATCATCAGGGAATTCTAGAAGGAAAAATTAGTGTGCTGTGCTACATTTTTGGGTGGTAAATAAAACGGTTAATAGGTGTATTTTTAGTAAAATTATGAATAGGGCACAGATTGTTTAAATCAGTGTGCTATTTCTTTTCTCCCATCAATTATGAACCAGGTAACCAAGTAACCTATGTAAACAGTC